ACACAGGTTTGACTGTGGTTCGTTATGAAAACAAACATGCGAGAGATTTTGAGTGTTTTACACGATACTTTGCACCCTGGTAAAATATTGAGATATTTTAAAAAATTTTGAGAATTTACGGAAAGATATGTGACGTTTGATTAGAGGCCTAAAGGTACTTTTAGATCATACGAAACCAAGTAAACAGTCGTTAATAAAGTGTTACGGTATAATCCAACCGACAGAAAACATTGCAGTCCTACAAAGTCAACTGCTTCATTAAACAACGAGTGATATTCTTAATAAGGAGCGACTCCTAAATTTGTTAATTGGAAGCAAAACAGATATTATTTTGTCAATAACTTGTAGCTGTCTTAACATCTTGGGCCCCTTGACTTCCGCCAAATTTGATTGATAACTTTTCTCCACCGCTGTCGTTAAACTCTGTTTGGTGCCCAGCCCAGGAGGCCCTCGGTCAACCCTCGGATAAAATCATGCGGCCTTTCGCAAGTCATAAACCTTTAGATTTTAAACATTTCTTGCTCTTCGGTGCTGTAATGTTATCATTCGTTTCTGCTTCTCTTGATTAATTATCTAAATATAACATATAACTTTCAAACTTTCCTTTGAAAAAATGAATAACATCAATCGATGATCTGATAGGCATAGGATGTGAATGTTTCTGCGAACCCAATTTTGGAAGTCTTTGTTAAATTATTTTGAACAAAAGCATGGCAAGGTCGAAAGCCTGAAGATAACTTCCGCAATTTTATCCAAGTTGAAAGGAGTGTACCTGTTTTTTGGCTACAGTTAAATTGAAGTTGAATAAAGTCTTTTTCAATCAACGACTTATCTTAGTCTTGAAAAACATTTTTCAATGTGAAGTGATGGAGTGTTATTTGCATTTAACCAAGCTGAAGTGCCGAACGTTAGAGGGCAACAGATCGACTTTAACTATGCAACTTCACAACAGCAGATATGTATGAAAGGAAATTAACTAAACGTTGAGATTGTGCCATTCAACAGCGTCCCAAGTTATCAATTTAAAGCAAATAGTCGAAACAAGTTTCTAAAGAGTATTCAACGCCCATCACTAGCCAAGTGAAAATACAACAAAAAATAAAGATTGACAGAATTCAGGGCACATCGAACTTGTATCCAGATTCTGAGTTGAATTACTATGAATAACTGAATTACACCAACATCAATGTTCTAACACTGAAAACAATAAGAGATACGCATTAATAAATGCGTCTTACAAACCTTGTGAAAAGGCTGGATCTGGAATTAGAGCAGAGAGTTCAAATATAAGGGAATAAAGAAGACCAAAAAACATGTTGAGAGGAGATCTCGTCGCTGATCTGAGATATTTAGCCTGGCCTCTGATGCAACTGACTTATGAACAACTGGAATGTTGACTACAACCAATAGAATTTGAGCGATTCCAGCTGCTCCCAATTTTCTGACGTACAAACTAACAAATTCCTTTGTTTTTACAACAATGGGTGTCTCAGTGCCATGTTTGTCGGTCAAACATTTCTCCGTAATACAGCTCAGAAGCGGCCCAAGCTCCATCTGTGAGATGATCGTCTTGCGAAATAAAAGTCATGGCGAAATTATATTTACGACCGCTCTTGGGAATAAAAAAATACAGTCAAATTCTCAATAAAAATATCTCACCTTACTTCCACAGTGCATCGCTTGTTATCTGACCGCTTACTATGTTGAAAGAACCCATTTTAGCGAGTTATCCATCTTTAAGTTATCACGTACATAAGAGAAGCCCTGTGGACCTCTCTTATGTAAGGTGAGGTATTTTCATTGAGAATTTGACTGTAATTTTTTTATTCCTAAGAGCGGTCGTAAATATTCCTTTACAAACTCTTATAATTTCGCCATGGCTCAGTATTTCGCATGATGATTATCTCACAGCTGGAGCTTGGGCCGCCTGTGTTCAGCTTTGACATTTTAGCGTTAAAACAAACAAAATCGTTAACTTCCTGTCTTCCTTTCTCTTTGTCGCTTATTTTCGTGGAAAAATGATGATATGCGAGTTAGATCTTTTTGGTGGCCATTAGGAGTACGAGAAAAGAGTTACTAATAATAAAGGAAGTGTAACTTGAGAAGTTTTCCCGGGGACAAGTTTGCGACTACAGTGTCAATGGAAAAAAAATTCGAGTGTATCAATTCCAGTTTTGGAAGAAGGGAAGTTGCTATTTAAGGAAAAACTTGCCAACGAAATATCAATTGACAGTACAGATGACTTGGCAAGAAGGAAAATCAGAAGATTTTCGTGAAATTCTGCGCTATGACAAAAGAAACAGAGATGCCATATGTGGGTTATGCAGAAGTACTAGGTGTTGAAAACCTATACATATCATTAAAAATTTACAACAAAAAATCCTTTCAAAGACCTTTTTTTTAGTATAAATTTTTGATACGTTGTGAAAATGGGTTCCTGTGTACGTGCTAACTCAATAATTTACAAAGAGAATTTCGAAATAAACGCAGCATGTCCGTGATCATTCGATGTGGTTACTGTTGAATGCCTAAATGTAATAACTGTCCTAAATGTAATAACATTTGGTCCTAAATTTAATGAAGTCCTAAGTGTATTAACATTTGGTCCTAAATGCAATAAGCCTCCAATGCGATTGTTTACTTCGCTAGTGCATTGTTGTTAGAGTAGACATCCATATTGAGATGTTAAAGTAAAAGCTGTTGCACCGAAGAATCCTCTGACCAATATTCAAGGCATATTGCGGGCTCGCTGATATTAATCAGCGTCTTTTTATCTGCTTAAGACATAGGTTGAGAAGCATAGGCTAAAAACCCTTATACTGATGTGCTTTTGGCATCAAATTGACAGACGAAAAACAATGAGAACGCTGACCAATAGCTCTCATTATATCATTGGCTCAGACTCTTTAGTGCAGCAGATTTTGACGATGTACTTGTGTGATCAGTGCTGAAGTTAACACTTCATGAACCGAATGTTAAGAAAAGGAAGTCCACTGACCAAATTCCGGGCTCGGAAGAGCATTTTTTGTACTGTCTTCCCTTGCCAGATTTGTAGGGGTCTGAATAAAATACATTCATATGCGCTATTGACCAAGCGTGAGGTCAAAATGGCTGGATATTGGCCGAGTTCTTTTTCTTTTTTGCGTTCTTATGGATTGAGACGAAGTCCCGGTCCATAAAAACGTAAGAAAAGAACGAGGCTAATATTCAGCCATCTTGACCGAACAAACTTGGTCAGGAGAGTTTATATTCTCGTGGCTTAATCGATACAGGATACTTTGTATAGCAAAAGATTTTGCTTCAATAAGAATCAAGAATGACTGGTTTATTTCGAGAGCCGAGAGTGAAAGCCAACCGTGTTTGCAGAACAATAAACTCAAGAGGGTCGTTTAATTTTTTCTATGTATGTGTCGACATTGTCCAAAAGTTACGAACTTTGTAAGTTTTCTTGCGCGAGATCAATGCAGGCAATCCCGAGCGGGCAATATAGGCCCATCTTGCCCGCTTATGTAACCAACCAGAACCCAGGATTTGTTTCATCTTGCCCGCGCGCGTTGCTAGCTATATAATTAAGTGACTTACAGAGCAAGATATCTACCGACCAATCATATATTATCCCATTTCACGATCACAGGTCTCGGCATGTTGCTTTTTTCCACGTAAGAGTCAAATTGAATCATTGAGCTACAACATTCAACACATGATGGTCAGTTGATGGTCTAATGAAGTAATCATTTTTTTAAGCCCCTTAAAACGGGTTCATCAGTTCCCAAACCGAAATATTGGGAAAACATATATTCCACAGTAGATATCAAGTTTTTATTTCATTTTTTGTCTTCATCTCTTCTCCTCACCGTGAGGGGAGAAAATGAATAGATAAATAAATAAATGAAAAAGAAAGCTCATCAGTTTCCACTTATAGTCATATGGTACATGAACTGATTACCGAGGTGGAGTGAAGCCACAGAGGGCTAGAAATGCAATATTCCAGGTTCAAATTGAATAAATCAAGATAGTCATTCTTGAAAATGAATTCAAATGCTTCGTTAAAACCAACTGACACTGAATAACATTGATCTGCAAAATTTCAGCAACACTACCGATTATAATACCGTTTTCTTTTGGATTAACAAGTGACAGCGAAATCATTCAAACTATTCTAAAATGGTGCATCACTACTTACGACTTTGACACGAACGATAACATCAACAATAGCATGTTAGTTTATCATCAATTGTAGTCAATTTTTTTACCAAAAAATCCTAATGATTGCGTACCAATCGAGTCCATCCACTTGAACTTCCAGCCAAGCATTAGCCCACTTTGGAGTTTCCCTCAACTCGATAAATAAACCGCATAAAGGGCCACACTTTTTTAAAAGACTTCGAGGGCTGATTAAAAAAGACCTCAATAAACCAGAAATATGAAGCCTTTGCAGAAATCCTTTTAGACGTTGCACCAGCACCCTGAATCGCGTATTAACTTTACGTAATGTTTGGTATGTGTGGCATACATTACCAGTAAAGAGGAAGGCCGATGACGCTAACACTATTTCTGGGATTTCTTGGATTTTTTCTAGAACTTCATAGGGAAGATTTCTAATGACATTCGTCATCCCCTCTCGTCGCAAATAAGTCGATTTCTACATCTGAAACAAACTGAACTTCCATCAGCTTATTACCTGACCATCATTGGCTATGCCGTTGTCGACTTCATTTCGCAATTCAGACTCCGTCTCGTTTGTTCGGCTACCATGAGTAAGTTCCTCAGCTATATCTACAGCAATGTCCGTGTCGTCACCATTTCCGACGATACTGTCAGGCCCACTTTTTGTGTCAGTGTCACCCATTTCAAAATCAACGACGTCCTGTTCTATGTGCATTTTATTTGCATAATCCTCGAAAATTCTCCGTCTCCTGGGTCATTTGCTTCGTTTTCTTTTTCATTACCGTCTTTGTGATCCGTAACTTGTTCCAAGCTCACACATTGTTCGCCTTGGTTCTCAGCAAAATGTCCAAGGTACACGGTAGCTGCTGAAACACTTGCTGACGGACTGAACACATGCTGCCCACCAACCCTAGAGAGGAAACTGTTTGGATGTCGATGTTATACAAGTTTGCTGCTGCATACAGCGTAATCTGGTCCCCATAGGTCTCATCGCGCCTTATATGAGTTATATAGTCAGCAAGCGAACTCATCATTTGCCAAATGCTCCAACAGAAGGAAGTCATCGCTATTGTACGGGTTACTTTTTTAACTACTCTACTATTTCTTTCCTCATGGTTTCAGGAGATCTTAAAATGCCCGGTCCCTTTGGCTGGTGCGATAGTGTACCAAATTTGGAAATTGCCATCTCCAGGAGGATTGTAAACCAATTTAAAACCCTGGTCTTCAATAGTCTTTGCATAATCGTCTCTTCTCATAGGTATGTAATACTTTTTGTAGTGGTCATTTCTTTTCTTACTAGACAACTTGGCGCATTCTTGTTTCTGTTTTTCTCGCCCTAGTGTAAGGCTTGTGATGTCGTCCACAGGGACCCATTTCCTTTCTTCCTTTCCTGAAAGTGGTGAGGTGTATGAAACCTTATAGGTATGCAACTTGATTTTTCGTTTCTCAATACGACCCGCCTTCACATGCCGTTTATTCGATGGTTACCCTCTCAAACGTACATACGCTTTTTCTCCGATGCTGTAAACCGAGGGCGGATTTAAGCGAAGTTGTGTTCGCTGCATCCGCTCGTCACATCTGCTCGTGGCTTTTTTAGCTTGCATTCGTAATTTCAAAGCTTGCTGTGAACGCCGGTTACGGTCATTCTTAGTTGGGCGAACCCTCCTGGCACTAGGAAGGATTTCGTCTTGTAATTTACTCTCTCTGAAAGCGTTGCACTTGCGTGCAAAATATATTTCGAATGGTGTTTTGTAAGCTATCACTTCCTTGAGGTTGTTAGTTAGAATTCTTTGATAAAGAGGTAGCTGTTTCGCCCAGTTTACACCGTCTTGACGAATTTTTTGAAGGTCATATTCCATCCTTGATCTTAGCGTCTTGTGATAACGTTCTACCTTGCCTTGTGATTGGGGATGGCGCGGGCGACTGTAAATCAATTTTATATTCATGCGATCGCAAAGTAATTTCAAGGCTTTCTTGAACTCCCCTCCTTGTTCGCACTTGGTCCCCCTTTTCTGCTCATATCCATCAAATCTATTTGGTGCCTGACATGAACGTCTCTGGCCCTGATAGGTTTCGGCCTCGCCTTATTAAGGAACTTAGCATTTCGGCGATAATGACTTTTGTCCGTGTTTAGATAGTTTGTATTTTAGCTCGACTTAACCCTGGTTAAGTTAATGTCAGCTACTTTAAAACTGGAAAGTGATGTTGTTTACGTGCATGTCATTCTCATAGTGCTGATTCAGTAGAAGAAAAGTCTGTTTCAGAGTCAGGTCATGCTGTTTTATCTAATGTCTGATCGTTAAGGAGATAAGTGCGTCGAGCAAACCTTGTTTCCTTCTCCTTAATTTTTTTTAAATTCTTAAAATCAATTAGTATTACCGTTAAAAAACAGCTCATACGATTAGTTGTACTCACATCTCAGAGAAGGCAAGGGCACAAATTTTTGTGTGAGTTTTTGGGGACCGGGACATTATTTAAAGCCTTCAACATAAACAACCATTTTAATGTTCATCATATCTCACTCGTGTGACTGTTTCCGGCCTTCTATGAAACGTAATCGAGTAACAAGTACATGTATGCGCTAAAAAGACCTCTTTCATAGTAACTCTCTTTTGATATCAAGTGCCTTTTAATTTTGGAGCCCAAAAGCTTTGCGTCAGTAAGCTCGTTCATGACATGCTCCAGATTTTTGTTAAATGTCTGTTTTGTGAAAGCAATCTGAGCCGGTGATTTGTGATGATGAGCTAGTCAGTAGCTTCTTTGCATTGCACCTGTTAAATGCAGGTCACTGATTATACAATTTGATGCAGACACATGCAATACCCTATTTGTTTGTCGGATTTGTTGCATGCATTTCAGGATCAAGAGAACATAATCGTCCCAATTATGGTCTCTTGGGGCGAAAAATTATTTTGTCCATATTAGAGGTCCGAATTGTGAAACAAAATGTGCAGCTAACAAGGTCTATGCAGGCATTGAAAGACAAAAAGTGTATATCCCAGCCTGCAAATTGTCCGACTTACAAGTCAGCGGACTCCCTTGTCCAAGTTTGTAATTAAATTATTTGGTTTATGACTTGTTAACTCCATTACTGATCACGCAAGAATAACGTTATCAAATTTTTCCAAAAGTTATTGTGCTTAACAGTCTGAGCCAGTGATATATGGAGAGATTTTGGTCAGCCTACTCATTATTTTATGAGCTCTCATTTGATGCCATTTGGTCATCAGTATAACGGTTTGCAGCCAATGCGTCTCGACTTGTCTAGCAAATAAAAAGACGCTGATTGATACCAGCGAGCCCGTAATGTAACATGGTAACATGTGTACTAGTCAGCGGAATTTTTGGTGCAACAGCTGTCACTTTAAAATCTCAATGTGGATGTCCGCAACAACAACAATGTACTGAAGAAGTTAAACGATTACATTGACGGCTTATTATATTTAGGACTAAATGTCATTACATTTAGGACTTTATTATATTTAGGACAGTTATTACATTTATTTACATTCTTCAAGTTACCATTTTAAACTTTTTGAACCATCTGTTGCATGTCCAAAACCCAAAACTTAGGATATCTAATGAACGCGGGTGCGTTTCGGGATTCATGAGCATAAGTGATGTCTTTTTATTAAAATGTCTTGAAGAACTTGATGAGTAGAGTTGACTCAAAAAAATTTTCACGATAAACAAATTCGGTCCTAATAACAAGCTTTTCGACTTAAAAAAACTACTTATTATTTGCCATCCGGGCTGAAATAGTCCCAAAACTACCTAAAAAGCTTCTTTCCAAAACACAAAAATCGTTTTTAGATTCATTCGTGGCTTGTAGATAAAGAGATCGACATCTAGAATTTGCAGTGGAAATTATCTGTGTCGTTTCTGTAAGACTCGCGGGAGCAGTCTATTAGTTTACCATCGTACGAGTTAAATTTCTTTGTGCTCAAGATCAAGAGAGGAAATAAGGGTCCCCTAATTTCCTGTTGTTAAGATTTAATGCGGCGCACTCATTCAACCCTTGCGGAGTTTTACGGCGAGTTTTCTTCTAGTCTAGCGATTTCACTAGGGTACGTAAATACCTGGTCTTATGCTAGAAAATATAAAATCCTTAATGTGCAGTGAATTACAAGGCCTTACATATGTTTCTGTATAGATTGAATTTGAGAATTCAGTAAAAATTTCGCTAATAAATAATAATAATAATAATAATAATAATAATAATTACCACGGTTGATTAACACATTTACATATCTTTACAGTATCGTCCAACTATTAAGTAAAAAGTCTTCCTCTCGTTCCAAATCATCGTTAAGCAAACGATCCGTCTTGCTTATTTACGCCTTTCAGTTTCGTTGACTTTCCAAGGATGGGTCTACAAAAAAGAAGAAACTTCTTCAGTAAATTACCCCTTAAGAATCTTTGTCAGAAAAGTACTCCTTAGCCTCTCAAGCAATTTAGCCAACAGTAATGCCTTAAGTGTAAATAAGAACTAAAAAGGTAGCAAAGTATAGTCAAAGTATGTGCATGGATGGCTACCATTATAGAAAATTTAAACTTATTGAATTAGGGTACACATGAAAACTTCCGGCCTTGTCTGTCTGTTTCAGTGCTTCCCAACCACCCAATAAAAGGCTTCTCTTCCTCTGATAATAGATCTTGAAATTCCGCGCCAGGCTATTCACGGAAGCGATAAAATTTACCGAATTGAAACACCCTCATCCGTTCTCGGCTACAATTATAGGAGTACTTTTCGATTGAGTATCGTGAAACAAAGAAACAGAGAAATTGCCACAGCCGATCTGAACTGGTCTGTATCAACATCACCAAGCAGCCAACTAGGATTTGTGGAAACGACCACGGGATTGGCTGAGAGGATAACACGAGTTTCCTGAACAAATTATAGAGCTTACTAGAAAAAAACTTTTGCAATCTCGGAATTATACTATCAACATTCAAATGAAAGCTGCACACAGAAAATTTTGGCTTTCTTTACTTCACCTTTTTTCCCAATATTTCATTCTCCTGATCGAAGGCCCTCTTCACCGTGCTACAAAAAGCATTTTAATCTAATATATTGCTGCAACCAACTACTCTCTCCAAATAAAACTTACCCTTATTACCAAAGTCAAACGTGACGTCATCTCCAATCAGCATGAATGGAGCCCACTCACAGACTTTGGTGTAGCCGTTGTTTCTCATCCACTTCATGGCCTGGTGAAGAGATTCACTGGTGCTTTCTCCACCAACGAGATGTTCGTAGAATCGTTGCATGAGTTGTTCTGTTGCTGTGTCTGATATGGCCCATAATGCAACCAACACCGACCGAGCACCGGATCCTAAGAACGCTCGAGCGATTCCAATCACTCCTTCAGCTTTGATCTGTCCACTTCCACTGTGACAACAGCTGAGAACAACCAGTTTAGCTCTTACTTGAACTTGTGATATCTCAGCCATCGTCAACAGATAATCTTCTTCTTGCGGGGCGATATCAGGGCTGTCGGGAGTACGGATAGGGGAAAGGGCGATTTCTCCTCTTTCTGCATCACCATGTGCAGCAAAGTGTATCAGGCTCACTGATGTTATCTTCTCAAGAACTGCCCGCTTGGTCGCTTGCTCTCCTAACAACGGCTTTACGCCCACCAGTCGTCCAACCATCTTTGCTTCCTTTCTTGCACAAGGTAATGAGGCGATGTGCTGAAAATATCCCTTGAACATGACCCAATCAACTTTGGGATCACCCACGATCAGTGCATCAGTCCGACTGTGATAATCCACTGGACTATCTTGAATGAGCTTGAGCGTCATCAATGAGGGAACTACACGGATGCGACGGGTCTCCGATAAGAATTGCCCCTCCTTTTCACGCAGGGCAGCAAATGGAACTTTATATAAGCTGCTATGAGGTACAATGATGACTTCGGGTTCCACAAGGAAATCTGCAGCGTGGAAGATGAAGAGTTTGGAACTCATAGAAAGACTTGATTGGAAATCTGAAACAACTTCTTCATCATCTTCTTCGAGAAGTCTCAGATCTGTGAGGCTTCCCAGCTCATCTGAACTGTGTTGTGGCTCGATGACAAGAGGCAAAGATCGATCCTCACATTCCCATTTGGATTGCATGCCAAGGCACCGGAAACTTTTGGCAAAAAAATCACTCAAATTACTCTCTAATCGAGTGCCAAGAATTTCCTCACCCACTGTCGTTCTTTTGAAATGAATTTCTCCACTTGTTTTAAGGATTCATATGAAAAGGTCATCATCAGCAAATGAAATGTATAAAAATACACAGTCAGTTTCTTTTCTAACAATATTTTCAATCCCAATCCATGATTTCGGATTGGCTGAAATGTTTGTTTGAACAGAATATCTATCAGCCTGCAGGTCTGTCAGGCCTCTCGCCCGTCCCAGCTCTACAACATAAAGAGCCTCTCGGGGATTGTTGTTCTCACAAAGAAGAGCACTACAGAACGTGTATGTATTAACGCCCTGAACCTCTAAGAAAGATGTTTTTAAATGATCGTCATTTCTAAGAGAAAGTCTTAGGTTTTCGTATGTTTCAAAACGTTGATAAAGATAACGTAGCGCTTCTATGTTGTTTCCCTGCCGCAAAATGGATATAGCGAGGCCATCTAAGCTATCTAACTCAATTTCACGGACCCCAATGTCTTTAGCGATTACCAGTGCCATCTCATAATGTTTTTCAGCGGCGGCATATTCTTCCAGACGTAGACACAGAAATCCAAGGCGGTTATACTCTCTTGCTTCTCCTTCTCTGTCGCCTAAATTAATTCTGATCGCAAGTGCTTTCTCACGATACTCTCTAGCCTTCACATATTCTCCGAGTGTGTAAAACAAACCCCCATGATCTCCGTAGGCTTTTGCTTCTCCTTTTCTGTTTCCAATTTCAGTGTTAATTGCGAGTGATTTTGCCAAATATTCCTTAGTCTTCACAAAGTCCTTAAGTTCAAAAGACACAACCGCTAGGTTTTCATACTGATCTGCAGCTCCATGTCTACAGCCAGTTTCAGTTCTTATTGCAAGTGACTTCTCAATATGTTCCTTAGCTCTGATATATTCTCCCAAAGATTGAAACAAATTTCCTAAGTTTCCGTGATCTGCAGCTGCTCCTTCTCTGTCGCCAATTTCAACTCTAATCGCGAGTCCTTTTTCGTAACATTCTTTAGCGTTGGCGTATTCTCCAAGGGACTGAAATACGGCTCCAAGATTTCCGTAATTTGCAGCCTCTCCTCTTCTGTCACCAATTTCTCTTCTGATCGCTAGTGCTCTCTCGAGATATTCTTTAGTCTTTGTAAATTCGCTAAGCAACTGAAACACTTTCCCTAAGGCTTCGCAGTCTTCTGCTTCTCCTCTCCTGTCGCCTATTACATTTCTAATCGCCAATGCTTTCTCGTAATATTCTTTCACCTTGTTACCTTCTCCAAGGTTGAAAAACATATTTCCTAAGCATCTGTAAAGACATACTTCTTTATCGCTGTCGCAGATGTTTATTGCAATCGCAAGAGCTTTCTCATAGTATTCTCTAGCTCTGGTAACATCACCAAGCGAGTGAAACACATTTCCTAAGTTTGTGTAATCCGCTACTTCTCCACTCCTATCACCAATCTCAGTTCTGATCACAAGTGCTTTCTCGATGTATTCTTTAGCCTTGGCGTATTCGCCAAGATAGTAAAACATGACTCCTAAGTTTCCATAAGCCTTGGCCTCTCCGTCTTTGTCGCCAATTTCCTTTCTGATCGTAAGTGCTCTCTCGATGTAACTTTTAGCCTTTTTATATTCACTGAGCTCTAAAAGCAGTTTTCCAAATTCTCCACAGGTATCTGCTTCTTCTTTGCAGTCACCTGTTTGTACTGTCAAGTTTATCGCTTTTTCATAAAGTTCTTTCGCATCGACAAAATTGTTTAGTCTAGATGACATTCTTGCAATGTCCAAGGTAAATCCCACTGTTTCGAAGGGGTTAGCAAGACCGCGGTTTTTGAGGAAAATCTTTCTTGCATACATTGACGCATTTTGGGAATCAGAAATAAAATAGTATGCTTTGAACATCATAAAATAGATAAGTTTGTAAATTTTCCTTGCAATGTCATTTTCTTTTCCTTGCAAGCTGGCATTTAATAGCTTCAAAAATTCGTTGCCGAGCTCGATGGCTTTGTGAACTCGACCAGTGTTCATAAGAAAATAGGCAACTTGTACACCTATGAGGGTCGTCCATATCCCGCTTAGAAGATCCATTACGGAGTCACTTGTAACTGTAAACAACTGAAAGAACACAGGAGAACTATGAGTTTTCATATCAAGACAAGCACAATATTTTAAAACATAGGGCTGAAGGCCAAAGGAAAGGAGAAGATTGAGTTAGCCAAAACAAGGAGGAGAATAGTTCAGAGCGAAAGGCAAGCAGCCGGCTAAAGATGATTGTCAAATCAAAAGATCAAAGCGGATGGAGGTAGAATGCCAAAGCTTCATGTGCCTCACAGCATGCCGTAACTGTGGGATAAGATACGATATCAGAAACGGGGACATATTCTCTTGATGAAAAGCACGGTCTTTACAGCGCTTCACGTCACAGTTTCCTCGAATTAAAACATGAAACCTGGGAATTTTCATGGTTTCATTCAGGCAACCTGTGGTCAGTTGTTTTTAGGCATTGTACTCCCACTTAGTCTGAAAACCGGAAGCATTTCTATACTGTTGATTTTACCCCGTTCAGTTTCGACGACATTTGCGGCTACTTGCATTGCATTCAGCCAAGAGATTGTAATGTCTTGATTCAGCATGCATCATTCGTAGCGAGGATAATTTTGGAACTGATGTTTAATTACCGTTCCCTGCGCATAAAAGAGACAACCGAACGATCTCTACAAGGATAAAAGCCTAAGTGATGTGACTAATGAAAGCTTCCGAAGGGAAATTTTAAAATTTTCATGCGCGAAGGGAGTTAAATTTTATATTAATACAGGTCTGTAGGAAAAATGTTTAACTGAGGGGATATCACAAACCTCTTCCCCCCTCAGCCCCCCCCCCTCCCTACTCCTACGGCCCTGTAATACGTGCTTTATTTACTGGCTGAGCTGGCTGTCTTTTAGGCCAGTGTGGGTGGGGTCTTTGAAGAGAGAAGTGGGATACCAATAGACCTTAAACTTGTCCATACATGTATTGACAAATGCCTAAAATAATTGCAGTATATCATGGAAACCAACTACTAGAAATTATTGTACGCGAGATCTCTTGCATCAGTTTTGAGATGAGAAAACATCCTGCATGGGTACCCGAATGCCATGATACCTTGGCCGGGCCTGTACTTTGGCATTGCGTTACGATTGTCTTCCTATCTCACTGCTTCGACACTCGAGCTGTAGAGCGAGTGTGGACCCTGCCATAGCGTGACTTCTTTTCTTTTTGTGTGACTTTCTCAGCAGGAAGAGAATATAAATTTATGCAAATTAAGGACACGGAAATGATGCGACTTCAGATCGTCTGATCAGTTCGGTTTGCCTTGATTTTTACGCGATAAGTTTTACTTAGTTCCTTTATCGATCCTTTTGGAGTTGGAATAAAAAAGTTATGTATATTCAACAGAAACCTCTTGTGAGATAGAAGGCGAACCTCCTCGTACGATTTTCGATCTTTGAGGATGAAACAAAACATATGTAGAAGCATGTACACAGTATCCTCCTTAAATGTTATTTGCTCTCTCATGATTCATCTTTATCACAGTAATCCGCCTTCAGTTGCTTTTGGTGTCTTTCGATAAATTCTTTTCATACTCAGTCAGGCGAGTCCTGATCGAAGAACCTAGAAATCCACGCATCAAGCGCTAAGGAGATAAAATACGCCTTTCACAGATATAATTATTTGCATGATTTATCGTTTAGCGAGATTCGGTAACTAAGACCTCAATCAGTCGAAAAATCAGTGTCTTTCCAATCGGAAGAATCCTTGTTCTACAAACGACAGCGCTAAGATTCAATTGGGCTCAATTTAGTTCAGTTCAGACCAATCTGCCGGCGGTCGGCGACCACAGTCACCATACATGCAACCCGGGCTTAGCGAGAAACAGGGCGCTGCGGAAAATGCTTAGTAGTGACCTAATAAATACGACTTACCAAGTAGTCCGAGTCTAACCTCCGAAAGAGAAATTTTGTTGTTAAATGGGCAACGTCTGTAACGTCATGTTGAATCTCTTTACCAGGTCCTTCGTAGTTCAAAAACTCGACGAGGGAGGTCTGGGTAAAAGACTAGACGAGGGTCGAGATATCGGCCAATCATAATCAGAGGAGGCTCTTCCTTGACAAAACCTTAAAGGTCCAGCATTTATTTTTGGGGCGGTGTTAAGCCAAGAAAATAGGGCAGGTGCGTTCAGGTCTTTTTTATACTAGAGATTGTTATGGAAACGAGTGCGCTGTGATGCCACTATAACTTCTTACCAGCGACAGCTCACTATCGACGATTTTTTAGCGAAATTTTACCCGCAATCCGCGACGTAAACATGCCACCAACCAACGATTAGATTCTCCCAACATGAATTGCGAGGAAATCAACTTTAATAACATACCGGTATTCACAAAATGTATAGTGCAAATACTAGATAGCTTCTTTTAAATCTAAACAGTTGTTTTTCTATGAAAATATTTTACATTGACAACGATTTGGAAATTTTCACTTCACAGCACTCAAGTATCAAGATTTTCCCGATGTGCGAGATCCACCTCGAGAATCTTCTCAACTTCAGCCTTGTAATCCATATCCATTTCTTGATCATGTATTACCCCAAAGTGATGCAAAGCTTCTCGATACATTTATCCTTTTTTTTCGATAGCCCGCGTAAATTCAAAGTGATACAATAAGACATGGAAAACACCACCATTTCCATAATATAAAATTTATAAATATTTATATTAATTATTTCATGAGATATAAGATTACTGAACAATACCTTCTTACTAATCAACACCCCCCTCTGACAATCGCCTAATAACTGGAAACTATATTGGTCGCTTTTTTTTTGAGCGGAAGGCCGACAAATTAAAAAAAAAACGACAAGTGTGTTTTCAATCGACTTAGTACCTATCCTTTTGTCTGTTACAAAGGAAATTAGGAAAAATATTGGAAATAGGAGCAAAGCTCTGAAGGAAAAGGGTTGAAGAGACAAGAGCTTGGTGAAAGATGTGAAACTCAGAAAGTATCACACACGACTAGTTTAAAAACAAATCGAGTGACCAGGATAGAGCTGGAACACAACTGAATGTACAGGTGTGTTTAAGTGGTTAGTTTCACAGAAGTTGAATGGTCCAGCCACTCTATCAAATCTTTTAAAAACTTTAGGAGACCAAACTGCAGAAGCGAAACAAGAAAATTCAAAGGAAAGACCCGCTACCTTTTCATCTCTCTGTCCCCTTACTGCATGTTTTCCCCAAAAGCCAAAAAAAATTCTGAAGAAATACAATGTTATGAAGTACTTTTGGTCAATCCTTGAGGCCAGGTTGGATTGAGAGAGAA